GAGTCCTTGCTGCAGTGGTCCAGGGTTTGAATCCGACCTGCAGCCCTTTGCTGTGTGTCATCCCCTCTCTCTGCCCCCCTTGCCTGTCTGTCTTCAGCTGTCCTATCAAATAAAGGCCTAAAAAAAAAAAAAACGTTCCAAACTATCACTCACAAACCAAACTGGAGCTTCCAGATATCTACTTGTCTTTTGCAACAACAGATACAGAGACTACATAACCTCTCCATCCCCCAGCGCACACACACACACACACACACACAAAAACACAACTTCTTCTGTCTTTCTTTTCTGCTGTCTAATTTTGTTTGTAATTTTCACTGTCAGACAAGAAGAAAAACGACCATTTAAAAACTCAAGGTGGATATCCAAGTTACACACACACTTGTACATTCACCTGACAGCTTGAGGTGCTTTTAAGATAAATATGTGTGTTTGTTTCCAGGGGGAGGACCTATGAAGGTGTCCTACATTTTCCCGAATGGGGACAGATATGGTGAGTGATAGCTGATGATACAGCCTTACATTACAGCTGCACGATGTGTGTGTCAGCTTCTCTTCTCCACAGAGGGGGAGTGCAGCCGGTCTGCATCAGGGGTGATGATGAGGAGCGGTGCTGGTAAACACACCTCGGCAGGTGGTGCCACATACACAGGAGAGTGGCACGAAGACAGAGTATGTATTTACTGTGCGTATCTACTTCCTGTGGTGTCTCTGTGGTTGTATTTCCTCTGTACATGCTCTCTCTTCCTCTCTTTCTGTCTCACAGATGAATGGCAGAGGGGCCCTGCAGCATCCCTCTGGGGCACTATATGAAGGAGAATTCAAAGACAATATGTACCACGGCACAGGAACATACACCTTCCCAGATGGCTCTAGTTACAAAGGTCAATTTAACAAGAACAGGTAAAAAAAATAAAAATAAAAGCAATTCATTTATGGCGTCGTCTCTTTAATGGTTTCTGAACAGAGACATGTCCTTTATGAGTAAAGCTGCAAGGCCCCAGTTGTACATTTCTAAAGCAATCGGTGGTTTAGTGCATCTTAATATGGTATTTCCCACTTTTTTGATTAATTTTGGCACGAGTGAGAGGCAAGAGTTAATTGTATGACAACAGTAGTTACATTTCTGATTAATAAATGTATTATTTCGAGGGGATATATTCAGACCCAATACTTGATTTCTTTATTCTGTTGCACTTTTTGGCCATACAATTATATAAAAATGTAAAGATGTCTTTGGTGTGTTCTAGGTTGGAGGGAGAAGGGGCATTCACTGACACACAGGGCCTGGTTTGGACGGGGGAGTTCCACGGCAAAGCGGCGCTGGGCCTGAAAGTGCAGCACAACATTTAGGCAAAAGTTTTGTACTGCACTGTATCAAACGCTGTATAATATATTCTACATTCACATTAAACTGCATTAGAAAAGACGAATCGTCTGAAAACTGACATGCTTCCAGTTTATTTAGTCTTTGAGCATGTGATGTGAAATATATTCACTGTACTAAACGCTGACAGACATCCATGTATTTCTGTGTATTGGTGGTTACATATCCATGCAATCAGTGAGTCATGTCTCTTGCCTGGGAGTTCCTCTCTCAGCTGCGTCTCCCGCTTTACTGGCCGCGCTGCTCTGACACAGCAAGTGTCTCTTTGTGTAAGCTTCATTTCACTCAGAAAGTGTAACATCGGGGTTATGTTTTCTGACCCTTTGTCACTCTGCTTTTATGTAGCTGCGAGAGGAGTGGTGCATTATATGCTACGCTCAGATAAATCCAGGAATACTAGTGGCAGGCATTATTTACCACTAAAATAGAAGAAAACTAAAATCCCTGAAGAAACTGCTTTATAAATCCCTTCCTGGTCATACCATCTCTTGTTTTATTAGGGTGACAGATGAGCACTGAGCAGTTTTACATCATTAAACCACCAGCCTATCACAGAAGGGGCATATGCTCACGTCCCTGTCCATAACAGCTGTACCCGAACTGTTGGAACACTGGCCCGAGGAGCTGTGTGATGTGATGTGAGTGTGTGGTCAGTTTGACCTTCAGTGATTTTGTGTGTGTGACTCACTCCGCTGAGGAATAATTACTTCACAAACAATCAAGCAAACTGTTCGACATAGTTTAATAAGCAACTCTGATATTGTTATTTGTCATTCTATTGAATAATGCCTCTATGGATCTGTAATTGCACATACCCCTGAACAAGTTCAGTATTGAGTATTTATCTAGACTATACAGATATGGAAATGTGTGTAACAAAAACACATATATACTGTAGTAACATCCATACAATGCTAAAACTAAAATACTGTACCAGATACAAGAAACAGCTATTTTCATTGATTGTACAGTTTTCAGGTAGAAAATAACATTTTCGTATTGCAAACCTTCAGCTGTGACTTGAATGAAAAACCTTAAATATGATCACGAAGGCAACAACAATGAAATAAAAATAGAAAATGGCACTCAAATTTGGCACTAGATACAAAAAATACATCTGAACTTGATATGCAACTGACATAAATACAAACTCACCATGAGTTATTGTGTTAAGTGAAAATGTACAGCCTATGCAGTAAATGTTTAGTGCGTCAGGTGTTGTTTTAGTACAAGAATGTGACCATAAATGTGTATTCATAGTGAGCTAGATGATGGCAAGGAAGCTTTTAAAACCTTTGCAATATATTATCTCCATAAACCTGAGAAGTATACAATATTATTTTATTTTTTTAAGATTTCACCTTCTGGAAGAAGAAAAATAAATCCATTGTAATGCAGATCGCTGACTTTGAGAGAAAAAAGTACACTTCTAATTGTGCTGGAAACATCATTAGACGAAAGAAAAAACAGCCATTACAAACACCACATTGAAATGTGAAAAAAAAAACTAAACAGTGTCCATGCACATTGTGTCAAAATCATTGTTCTATACAAAGATAGCACATGACTGCTCTTGACCCCTGGAGGCATAAACATAATCTGAACCGAGCAAGAACGATATGAAAAAAAGGTGACCATGCTTTTCTGTGCTTCAGTTTCAGACATTCCCAGGAGCTCTCGACTCTCCCGCTTAGGTAGTTGGACGTGAAGGAACGAATAAGTTACGGTGAAGACGAACTAGAAAAACAGCACCATTTGTGTGACAGCTGTGTGTTCTTCCAAGCAAGGGTGGCAGAGTGCTCACCAAGGCCACCACCAAGGAGTTCAGTGGTTTACATATTGTGCTGTTTGTGGGGCAGATTGAGAGGGAGTCCGCGGGTGGAAGCAGGGAGGAGCCGCAATTAACCTTTTTAAAGGACCAGTAGGCAGGATTTAGTGACATCTAGTGGTGAAGTTGCAGATTGCAACCAAAAGAAATACAGCTCAGCCTTCAAAGCGTGTAGGAGAAACTACGGCACCCTAAGCCCCTATCTAGAGCCAGTGTCTTGGTTTGTCTGTCTGGGTTACTATAGGAACATCTGCGGTTCAACATGGCGGACTCGCGAAAGACGGGACGCTCCCTCTGTAAATAAAAATTAATTTTTCTTAAGGTAACGAAAACCGAGAATTCTTGCTTACTCTGATAATTGCTGAGGCTCGATTAGCCTGGGATGGTTCCATAGAAAAGCTGATGGGGCCGTTAACAGAGACGTACTTTTGCCCAAACAACCAATTAGTCTTCATTCTTAAAGTCTTTTCTCTTGTAAAACCCAAGAGTACTGTTTGAAAACCCTTCCGATGAAACATAAATCTCACCAGTAAGTCGCTTGTCCAAGTTCGTGTTACGGCCCATTACTGCCCCCTGAGGCCAGAGGGCAGAAGACACTCACTGGTGCTTGATGGAAAATTGCAGTCACTGTAGTTGTGTGTGTGTGTGTGTGTCCCCGCAAAAACAAGTGTAATCCATACTCAAAAACAGACTTAGATAGAGATAGGAGATAGGTTTTCAAATATTATTTACATTTCAAAAGAGAAAAGACAAGTTAAACTTGCTAATGTACGCCTGGTTAGCGGCTTCCCTGAGCTTTTCTCTGGAACCATAACAGGACGTTGTTCGATATAGTGAGACATGGAACTTCCTGGATGACGTGAGTGGATTAGTAGTTTGGTTCTGTGAATTTCTGGTTTCTAGAATTGCAAGGATGTCTAATACAAGGTAGTGTTCTATTTGGTCTTTCTGCGGAACACATTTAATTCTTCCAAACAACGATACATCTACAGCTGGGTATTTTGTCGTTCTTTTTTTTGCGTGACTTGTATGTGAGTATCAGCCTGAGGTGTTCAGGTTTGAGGAATAGGGCGTTCCATTCTTCATTTGTGGACTATGCGCAAAAATGGACCCTGTGGCCTTTTTTTGTTTTTGGTTTTTTTAGAAGAATACATAAGAAAAACCTTCAAATCCGCCTCAAACAATCACAACCCGATACCTACGCAGTTAGCTTTGGTTGTTAAAGATAAAAAAAAGCAACTGATTAAAATAAGATTTAAATCTTACATCTTCATTTCAAGAAAAAATTAGAAAAAAATCAGTAAAATGTGTTGACAACACAGCTGGTAATGAATAAATAGGAAAACCGTCAGCCAAGATCAAAAAAGCGCACAACATTTTAAAAAGAGGGGCATCATAAATTGAACCAGTGTGTAATTTATTGGTGTACACAGATGGTGGGGGGGCAGTATAACTGGCTAAACGTCTCGTGATAACGGTTTTCTTATAAACTGCTACCTTCTTTCTTGCGTGTCGTATATCGTGTGTTCACGAGTAGTCATAAGGCACATGGTTAGTGTTAGCATGTTAGAGTGTGTGTGTGTGTGTGTGTGTTGTGTGTGTGCTGTGTGTTTTGTGTGTGTGTGCGCGCGTGCATGTGTGGCATCTATTTGTGGCGAGCTCACAGTAGGAAGCTCCATTTGTTTGTACCCTTCTTCTCCCATCCCTACATAGCCTGGGAGGTGGCTTCTCCATCTTCTTTCTCTTTACCCTCCCCCATCCCTCCAGTGTAACCCCCATTCCCGCCTTCCTTTCCTCACCTTAGACTCCATTTCTGTACCAAGAACACGCCCTAAAACCTCTCCCGACAGGCTCGTACGTGACCTCCCCTCCACCCCCCTCCACCTCTCTCCAACCCTCTCCCCCCCTCACGGATTCTGCAGCAGCCCTTCCCACTGGATGGGCTGCGAGAAGACCTCTCTCTCCAGCCACATCTCGTAGCTGTAGTGGAAGTCCTCGGGCAGCTCCACGCGCTGGCCCAGCACGCTCTGCAGGCAGTTGTCCACGGGCGTGAAGTCTCCGTTCCTGTTCTTGTCGTAGCGGCGGCTGTTGAACTTCTCGATGCTCTCCCGCAGGGCGCACTCCTCCGCCTGGAAGTCCCAGGGCCGTGCGTCGATATCTGGGACGAGGGGAGAGAAGAGGGGGGATTTGATCAATTTCAAGGAACCTTCTTTTAAATATACGTTTGAATGTTCACAGTTGAGCATTTCACCTTGTGTCAGAAGAGAAGAAAAAGGAGAATAAATACAACACGCCTGTCTTTTCTTTATGTCTCCACCTAATTCTCATTTTCTCTATATCCATTTTTCTTTCCTCACAGTGACAGATCACTTGCTCTCCCACGAGGGACTGTGACCCTGAAAAGTCCCCCTTTCCCTGTTGCTATGGCAACACGATCCAGACTGTTCGCCGGTGGCAGTTGGAGCATTGTATTTCTCACACGCACTCACAGTAACCATACAGACACACACATAAACACACATGTACACAATTATTTGGTTAGTATTTATTAACCTGAAATGTCATGTTGGGTGAGTGTATTCTTCATGCTGCAGCGTCTGTTCTATTAATCAGCTCTGTGTGAGGCTAGAGGAGGACTGCTGGGACTAATTATCTCCATAGCCACTTCATTTACGAACATCTGAGAGGTCAAACTGAGTTGTGAGTCCAGGGGGATGAAGTGTGTGCCAGTGTGTTTTTTCTGAGCACCGGAGATTTCCCCAAATTTAATCTGAGAATCTTGATGCTTTTTTTATTAAAGCTGCACTTGATCATTTTTTGATGATATAATACGCTTGTTTTATCACCATAAATCATGAATTACTGTAGGGCTGTGACAAAGAAGAGCATTGCATCCATATTAATGCTGTTGCTGTATGGATGCTGTTTGAAAAATGGTAAAGACGGGCAATAAGAATACAGGTGGCAAACCAGCTTTACTTCGCTCTTTAAATTGTCATCATAATGCTAAAAGACTGTATTTTCCTGTTTGTTTTCCTTTGATATGGTCTCCTTGTTTTTCCTTTTGTTTATGTTTGATAAAACACAGTTGATCATAGAAAGAAACTATAAATCTATTATTGTGTATTACATTTTTTTTTATTTTATGATGTTACGTTTTTCTTTTCTTGGTTATTTAATTAGTTATTGTTTAGATTTTGAACTCTACACTACGAGTTAATATGAATTGCTAAAAATTCCATTAGGGACAA